AGATTTATTGTCTTCGCTTTGCAGGTGGGGAAACTGAGGCTGGCAGAGATGTGACACGGTTTGTAGGGGGCTTGATGAGATTTACCCGGCAGAACTGAACTGAACTGAACCCAGCCATCACGATTCAAGAGAAAATGATGAAGGATTCAGGTTTTTGTTTTAGTTCTCCAAAGAATTACTTTTATCTATCATCATCATTATTATTTCTAAATTGATACAGACATTCACCAGAGAGAGACACAGAGAGAGAAAGGGAAAGTGAGAAAGCAAGCTACCAGGTCTAGAACTTGAACCGCAGTTGGCCGTGGGGGAATCCAGCACCCCACCTGCCATGCCACTTGCTGACCCCAGGGATTCAATATTCTGTCTTCTTCCCCCTTTTTCTTTCCCCTTTTTTTTTTTTTTTTTTTTTTGTCAATAGGCTCTTACTTTGTCACAGTCCTCTAGTCTCAGCCCCCTATGGCAGGGACTGCAGGCAAGCACCACTATACCCAGACATTTCAGGCCAGGAATCGAACCTGGCCTCCCAGCGGGCCTGAATCTGCCAAGTATAAGCACAGCCCGCTGCAGCCTATCCTCACTGTCAAGGTGCTGGAGTTATCAAATGCAGCTTCATTTTGGTAAGTTTAGCAAAGACGTTGAAGCCGATTCACTCTTTTTATTTTCATGTCATAAAACTCTCAGAAGACATGTTCTCAACAAAGTCTTCACGCAGGATTGCCACAGCACTGTGCTTAGCACGAACTGCTCATCTCCACAAAGTGCAACTCAACCATTATGTCGGGAACAGCCTCCTCTTATAAAGAAAGCCCTTGGAGCCCAAGTATTCAAGAACTGAGAAGAATCACTTAAGGAGATAAATGATTTTCAAACGGCAGACACTTTGGGGAAGAGAATGATTGTGTAGAAACAAATGTCATTCAAATAGAAGGCACCAGGGGATTGGCAGATGGCATAGCAGTTCTGTCACTGGACTCCCACGTGGCCAACCATGGTTCAAGTCCTGGACCTGGTGGCTTGTAACTCACACTTGGCACACGCGCATGCATGCCCAAAATCCCAGAAGGAGAATGAAGAAGGGATTGAGGCATGGCCTTTTTATCATGGATAAAATTAAGTAATTCTTTCTTTTACAAAAAGTATTTGCTATAGGGCACATGCACTTGCCAGAGAGAGACAGAGACAGAAAATGAGAAATCACCCCCAAAGGGAGATAGCCGTGCCATAATCCCTTCCCCTCTATTCTCCTCTTGGGATTTTGGGCATGCATACACACACACCTGGCATGATTTTCAAGCTGCTGGATCCAGGATTCAAACCATGCAGCTAGCCATGTGGGATCCAGCTACCTCAACCTCCACATCACCTGCTGGCCTGTGAATCTTTTAGAAAGTGAGCAAGTACCTCCCAAAGGCATGTTCATTGTTCTCATGATGGTTACGTTGTTGGACTCCCATGTAGTCCACCTCAGTTCAAGTCCTGAACCCACTCACTGGCTTAAAACTCATGCTGGGTGCATGTGTGCATGCCCAAAATCCTGAGAGTAAACTGGAGAAGGGATGCTGTATGACCATACCCCCTGAGGGGGTGATTTCTCACTTTCTGTCTCTGTGTCTCTCTATTTCTCTGGCGAGCATATGTGCCCTATAGCAAAAATTTCTTTTTATTTTTTTGGAGAGGTTTTTTGCTATAGGGCACGTGTGCTGGCCAGGACAGAGAAAGACAGAGAGATAGAAAGCGAGAAATCCCCCCCCCCCCGGTGGGGATGGCCATGCTAGCAATCCCTTCTCCTCCATTCTCCTCTCAGTATCTTGGGCGCGCACACACACGCGCCCAGCGTGAGTTTAAGCCACCGGGTCCGGGACTTGAACCGCAGTCGACCACGTGGGAGTCCACCGACATAGCCATTAGGCTAACTGCTGGTCCCATATAGCGAAAATTTCTCTAAAAAAAAAAGAAGAAGAAAAATTATAATCACAAACTAATCTCATTGAGTAGATTAAGAAACATTTAAACAACAGAAATGTAAAAGAATGAGATGAAATTAAAGGTCTTTTTTTAATTGTTAGAGAATGAAAACACTCCCAGTGATCATGCCACAATCCTTTTTCCCATATTTCTCTATTCCGTCAGAATTTGGGTCATACATGCACAAGTATCTGGTGCTTTTCAAACCACCGGGGCCAGGATTTGAACCACAATCAGGCATGTTATATCTGGCTCCCGATGCACAGTGCTTAACCACTGCACTATGGGGCTGGCCTGAAATTAAAAAAAATAATAATTAAACAATTTTTATTTCTTTTCACTTAGTTCTAAGCAACCTGTTATTCATACAAACAGTCTAGGCAATTTTGCTGACAATATTTTTCAGTCAAAGTCATAGGATTAAATATGCTTCGTTATTTAGAAAATCTTGATTTAGCACTTCATGATAAAACAAGGTGAAGGCCTGTCTCTAAATCCAGTATGCGTTGTTTGTATTTAATGCGTATCAAAAGTGGAAAGATAAGGAACCAGCAGTTAGCGTAATGGCTATGTCATTGGACTCCTACATAGTCGACCGCGGTTTGTGTCCTGGACCAGGTGGCTTAAACTCACGCCGGGCGCGTGTGCGTGCGTGCCCAAGATCCTGAGAGGAGAATGGAGGAGAAGGGATTGCAGCGTGACCATCCCCCCTGGGGGGGGGTGATTTCTCACTTTCTGTCTCTCTGTCTCTCTCTGTCTGTCTGGCAAGCGCATGCGCCCTATAGCAAAAACCTCTCCAAAAAAAAAGAAAGAAAAGAAAAAAAAGTGGAAAGATAAAAATGACCTTACAAAGATCCCAGACCCCAGCGGGAGAAGAATGTTATTAACCAGGCCTAAATCCCTGACCCTGATTTCTCACTCCCATACACCAGTCACATACAGGTTTTTACTGGAATTCATTTGCCAGACTGCCATCTCCCCAAACTGTCCTTGCTAGCTAATTAAGTGGCACACTGACTGAAAAACAAATTTTAAAATGCTCATAGAGGAGAACTTTTACAGGGGACACAGACTTTAAAAGCAAAAGTACATGATAGTTAAGGTACTGGACTCCCACATGGCTGACCACCGTTCAAGTCCTAGACTTGTCAGCTTGAAAATAATGTCAGGCACATGTGTGTGCATGACCAAAATCCCAAGAGGAGAATGGAGAAGGGACTGCAAAGTAGCCATTCCCCCCAGGGGAGGGTGATTTCTCACTTTCTTGACCCCTTTCTCTCTCTGGGGATTACACACACCTTGTGGCACGAAAACAAAAACAAATCCTAAAAAATTTCAAGCACAGAAGATAGAAACATTTCAAAATACCCACCAAGAAGAGCTACATTGTGTGTTTATCTGAAAATCACTATTAGGTATCATAGTCCTCAGCATGAAAGCACTTGTCATTATAGAAACGGCCAACAATTTGAATCAAGTCTCTGTGAAAGAAAACGCATAACCTATCTTTCAGTTTAATAAGTGTTTTCATCAATCCAGCTGGTAGGACGGTGGTTAAGGTGGCTGGATCCCACATAGCTGAGTCCTAGACGTGCAGCTTGAAAAACATGCCAGGCACATGTATGTGCATGCCCAAAATCCTGAAAGGAAGGAGAGATGGAGAAGGAATTTCAGTGTGACCACACCCAATGGGGGATGCTTTCTCACTCTCTCTTTTTGTGAAGCACACACACACACTGATAAGTTTAAAAATAAAAGTCTTTTTTAATTACTCTGACATGAGATAAACAGTGGACCATTCAAATAGCACAAAACAACGCCATGGTTCTTGCAATGTTTTGAATATGTCCTTGAAAATTCGTATGTTGAGATTTGGTTCCAGTTATGATGGGATTAAGAGGGCGAGGATGTGGGAGCAGCAGATGGCGTAACGGTCATGTTGCTAGACTCCCATGTAGTTGACTATGATTCAAGTCCCAGATCCAATGGCTTAAAACTCATACTGGGTAAGTGCCCAAAATCCTGAGAGGAGAGTGAAGGAGAAGGGATTACAGCATGGTTGCTTTCTCATTTTCCGTCTCTCTGTCTCTGTCTGGTGAGAACATGTACCCTATAACAAAAATCTTCCTCTCTTAAAAAAAAAAAAAAAAGGTAAAAATTTAATCTGATTAAAAGTGTTGAAAGTGGGCCCTTTGGGAGGTGATTAGGATTAAGGTCATCAGGGCAGAGCCCATATGATGGAATCCTGGTGGGCTTATAAAAAGAAGGAATGAGACAGAGACACACAGGTAGACACAGACACAGTACTTGCTGTTTCACCATGTGATGCCCTTCCCCACATTAGCCACCATGAATATCCTCACTAGATATCCCCCAAACCGTGAGCTAAATAAACCTCTACTTTGAATAAATTACCCAGACTCAGGTTTTTCTGTTGTTACCAACACAACAAGCTAACACAATAATTCTTTGTGATGCTTTTTTAAAAGGTCCACAAGTTTTCTGACAGTCTCCTATCCAAAGAATTGTCTTCTCCTCTTAAACCCGAATAAGTCGAATTATTAAGTCACACAAACACAAAAGCAACCCTAATGGCTAATTTGTGTGTGTGTACTACAGGGTGAGTGTGCTCATTGGAGAAAGATGAAGTATGAGGGAGGTTAGAAATCACTCCCCAGGGGGGATGCCACGCCACAATCTCTTCCATTCTCCTCTCAGGATTTTGGGCACACACACACATGCGCCCAGTGTTTTTTTCAGGTCATCGGGTCCAGGACTCAAACTACACCATTAGGCACGTGGGATCCAGGTACTTTAACTACCATGCCACTGGCTGGCCCCAGTCAGCTAGTTTTAATATTTGGGCTTTTTTAAAAAACCCTAAGCATTCAGAGAAAGATAAAATTTCCAGGGAGGTTGAGGGATTTGTTTTGTCTTCTAAATGTATTATAAATTATCTGGAAACCAAGGAGAAAAAAATTGCTTTATCTTATACTCAATCCAGTAAGCAAAGGAAATAAAACACAATTTGATTGTGGCAAAGCTCATTTATTGAACTTCAGGGGTAAAATGTAATAGTCACACTATTCCACAACAAAATTATTTAACTGTAGATTTCATGAAGAAATGTGTATTAGTAATATACTTCCAATAAAACATTGTTATTAATAACTACTTATATTCAATTCTTGGGTAGTTTCTGTTGGTAGTCTCAAATTAAGACTTTCTCTAAACATATCAATATTTCCAATTAGACATAATACTTAAAATAAATTTGCACAGATTTACAAAACATGTGATTTATGCTTAAAAATTAATTAGTTGTTAGTCACAATTTGGAAGTGATTTTTCAACAACGATATGTTTTATAAATATTTTGGAATATACCTAAAAGCTTTATCCCCATTTGACTGATAAGTATGTTGTTTTTAAAAAATAAAAACACAGATTTAAAAATTAAAACAATAAATTGTTACAAATTAGATACAAATATCTTAAAATTAATAAATATTAAAGTGAAAAAATAAGTCCTTTCACAGAACTGTAAAGGATACTACTAACTCCTTACAAAAAGAAATAAAGTAAAATTTTTTAAACCATTGTAACTAGTACTGAAAAAATATAAATGTGCTTGGAAAGTCTCTAAACTTCCTTCCCCCACTTTATAAAATGTTTTGAAAAGCAGTAAGCAGATTCTCTTCTTTAAAAAACTATTATACCCACCATAATTACTGTAGCCATCATTGTTTTACTATAAAAGTAGTTAAAAATCAATGTTAATTTAGGACAAAGTAAAACAATTTTAATATTTAATTCTAGTATGATGAAGATAAATGGTTTAATTTCCCTAAACACAAATAAAGCCAAATTGAGCTTTAATATTTAAGTATAGTAGTTACTTCCTGTAATTATTACTTTCAGATAGTTCATTGAACAGAATTATCTTATTTTTATAATTATGTTATCCAATTAAGGTGACTGTAATGATTAAACAAAAATCCTGAACTAGATTACACATTTCATCAGTTGTCCCCTTTCTGAAAATACTGTAAATGTACAATCATCTTTTGGCTTAATTTCCTCTAAAGTGACCAAGGACAGCAATCTAGCAGAATTCGTGAATATACACACTTAAGGTAAACTTCATGGCTTAGATTCCATTTATGTAAATAGCTACATATGCAAGCTTGCTCTTTTTATATGCAAAGTCTTAAATTCAAAATAAAAGTAGGGTGAAAACAACTTTTTTGAAATATTCTTTCCATTACTGAGGGATAGACAAAGAGATTTTTCAATATCTAATTTATTTTTCATACTGAAGACAAACAATTTCTTGGACCATAAAATTTAAACATGAAAAAAATAGATACAACACAATGTAATTACAGAAATCCATGTAGACGTACTGCAATTAGAATTATGACCTCAGAACTATAATCCAAAAGGAAGATGACTTCTGACTTCAGCATGTAGACATTAAACTGACAGGTTGAAGGGAGAGGAAGAGATATCACGTCTTAAACGTAGCTTGATGTCCCCCCTAAAGGCTAAGTAAGAACAGGTCGCCTTGGGTAGCCAAGAACCAGGCTTACCTATTTCCTCCCACAACTCCTCAAATGCTTTCAATTCATTTTTCACTGTTTTAAGATACCGAAATGAAATACAAAGCACCTTATGGATGTCACTTTATTTGTCTTAAGATCTGATGTTTTTCTTTGTGTTTTAATAGAATATAGCAAGAAAACACATGACTCTTTTAAAAAATCACAATGATTTTTATAGACCTGTTTGATGCTGACCAAAAACACAGAGCATCTAGAACTGTTGGGAAAGTTATTCTTTATGTTCCTAGAACCAGAACGTTCTAGAATATTCCATTCTCACCCCCCAGAACCACAGTCTTGATTCTAAAGTGTACCAATAACAGCACAGTTCAATGTGTGAATTAACAAAGAACTCTGGGGAGAAGCAAATACCAGTTTTTATCCTACTAAGAACATTTCCCATTCAAAGGACATACCAGTAGATGTAGTACTAAACCTTAATACTTGCTTTTCAATCCCAGGAACACAGGATTAAGCACTTACTGACCTACCACGCTGCCATGCTCTCATCTGAAGCCATCCTCATTTGGCTCTCAACAGCAAGATGTTCTGATCCGTCTTATCTGTGCTTCATTTTCAGTGAGACCTGAAAATCACCTTTTTCCTAGTGGTGTCACAGTGACAAACTTGATGAAGTAGATACCAAAGACAAAAGTATGCATGGCAATGGTAAATAGCAGAGTACCAGGATGATCCATTACATGTGACATTAAATCTTAGAACTTATCACTCTCATACTTCAGAAGTATTTCTTTAGTCAAAATCAGAGAGTATCATCAAGACTTATTTAGCACCAGCATGTCATTGCAGGCTTTGGTTCAGGCTTCAGGGTAACTCCATTATCAGGGGGTTGACTAAGCATTAATGGTTTGTGGCTCTTAAGCTTATGAGCCAACGTCATAAATATAGCTTCCACATGGTCGTTATCATTGGGGTTTTTAGCGGAGGTTTCGAACAAAGGCATACTGTGTGTGTCAGCAAATTTCTGTGCCAAGTCTGTGGGTACCTGAATGGCGCTTCTCAAGTCACATTTGTTTCCAACCAGAATCCGTGGTATGTCATTGGCTAGCAAATGCTGTTTGCACTCTTCTATCCAAGATGGCAGGCTATGGAAACTAGCCATGTTGGTCATGTCGTACACGAAGACCACGGCATGGACGTTTCTGTAGTAGTGCTGCACCATGCTCTTCCTGAATCGTTCTTGTCCCGCTGTGTCCCATAACTGGATCTGAAAATGGAAAAGAAGAAAAGAAAAAACGAAGGAAAACTAGACATTTCATTCTAATTATCCAGGGGGAGAAATTTAAGCACCTTTGCATGGTCTTCAGTACCTCTTCACTTATAATACCTTAATTGCTTCCTTCCAGAATGTCTTTTCAGTATTACCTACGGGATCGAAAACTCATGATACTAGTCTAGTGACTTCATAGTAAGTAATAATACAAGTAGCTAGGACCAGCAATGGCATAGCAATTACGTTGCTAGACTCCCACATAGCCAACCGTGGTTACAGTCCTGGACCCAGGGGCTTTAAAATCACACTGGGAATGTGTGTGTCCACGTGCCCAAGATCCCAAAAAGAGAATGGAAAAGGGACTGCGGTGTGGCCATCCCTCCAGGACATGATTTCTTTCTGTCTCTCTGTCTCTTTGGAAAGCACACACCCCCTATAGCAAAAATCTCTCTTAAAAAAAAAAAAAGAAAGAAAGAAAGAAAGAAAACTTAAACTTTTCTGCCAATGACATTATTTCATTGCCTCCTAGTGGAATTATGGAGGACTTCGAGGAAATGATGTCTCAAGATAAATATAAGTACTATGTTACGATTCTTTTAAAACACTCGATTATCCTACCTTTGTTTACTTTGTAAAAAATACATGCTAAATTATGAAGACACTGGTCTCAATGGGAAAGACTAGAGGCAGATTTGCTAAAATAAATTTACATTTTTTAATAATTATTTTATTTAATTTTACTTATTTATTTTTAATTTGACCAAAGAGGGACAGAGTAAGAGAGAGAGAAAGAGAGAGAAAGTAAGAAAGCAAGCCTACCAGGTCCAGGTCTCAAACTGTGGTTGACCATGTGGGAGTCAGTACCCTTAACCACCACGCCACCTGCTGGGCCGGTAAATATATATTTATAGATATTTAGAGTATGGGTTAAAAGTCTAAACTTCTCATAGAAGGAAATACCATGGCTGGTCTCACAGGAGGACATAAGATAGAAAGATCTCAGGGCCAGCAGGTGGCATGGTGGTTAGGGCGCTGGATTCCCAAATAGCCGACCACGATCCAAGTCCCAGACTTGGATGCTTGCTTTCTTACTTTCCCTCTATCTTCTTTTCTTTCTTTCTGATGAGCACATTTGCTCTACAGAAAACAAAAATAATAATAAATAATTATTTAAAAAGAAAACGATATGAAGAACTCAGGACATGCCAGTTGGTATTCATACTGTCTCAATGAAGACATACTGGATGAGGGGCCAGCAGGTGGCACAGTGGTTAAGGTTCTGGACTCCCAGGCTGGTGACCGCAGTTTGAGTGCCAGATCTGGCGGCTTGAAACTCACACCGGGTGCCTGTGCATGCGTGCCCAGAATCCCATGAGCAGAATGAAAGAGAAGGGACTGAGGTGTGGCCATCCCCTCTGGGGGATGGTTTCTAGGTTTCTGTCTCTCTGTGCATGGGTACATGTGCCCGATAGCAAAAACCTCTAAAAGAATATGTTTTTTAAAAATGTAATTATAGAGGGAAATCTTTTTAAAAAAAATCATTTTAATTTCCAGAGGGCACACATGCTAGCTAGAAAGAGACAGAGAGAAAAAGGAGAGAAGGGGAACAGTTAGAAAGTACCCCCCAATGGAGTGTGGTCACACTGCAATCCCTTTTCTACCACCTCTCAATCCCATCAGGATTTTGGGTGTGCACGCACAGGTTCCCCAGCGAGTGTTATTAAGCCACTCGGGCCAGGACTCAAACCACAGTCATCTAAATGAGATCCAGTTCTTAATGCCTAGCACTTAACCACTATGCTACAGGGCCAGTCCTAGAAATGGACAACTTGATCATTGTTCTCTTCCATGCTACCTTACTTGCTTTTTTAAAGAATTATTTATATGGGGGCTGGCAGATGGCATGGTGGCTAAGGTGCTGGATTCCCACATGACCAATCTCAGTTCAAGTCCCCAGACCTGGAGGCTTACTTTCTCACTTTCCCTCTTCCCCTCTCTCTGTGGTGAATGCACATGCCCTACAGCATATTTAAAATAATAATAATAATAATAATAATAATAATAATGGGGCCAGCAAGTGCCATAGTAGTTAAGGCACTGGAGTCCCACACGGCAACCATGGTTCAAGTCCCAGACTCAGTGGCTTAAAACTCATACCGTGAGCATGTGTATGCATACCCAAAATCTCAAGAGGAGAAAGGAGGAGAAGGGATTGTAGTATGGCCATCCCTCCTGTGGCATGATTTCTTGCTTTCTTTCTCTCTGTCTCTCTCTGTGTCTTCGGCGAGCACATGCACCCCATAGCAAAAATCTCTAAAAAAAAAAAAAAAAGTTTGGACTGGCCATATAGCACTAAAAAATCTCTAAAAAAAAAAAAAAAAAGTTTGGACTGGCCATATAGCACTGGTTAAGCACTGCGCAGTAAGAGCCAGGTAACATATGGCTGACCAGAGTTCGAATCCTGGCCCCAGCAGCTTGAAAAACATCCATGGGATGTGCATGTTTACGCCCCGAACTGTGATAGGATGGAGAAATGGAAGAGAGGGAACGGAGGTATGACCACGCCCCATGGAGGGAGTGCTTTCTCTCTTTCTTGTTCTTTCATGATTGTACCAGAGAGAGCGAAAGAAAGAGAGAACACTTCTATCATTAAAATATATATATTTCAGATATGTGTACTTCAAAGTATACTCTCAAGAAAGTGAAAGGCCAGTCCATAACCCCACAGTTAAGTATTATGTGGAGAAAGTCAAATCCCACATGGCCGCATGTGGTTCAAATCCCAGTCCTGGCAACTTGTAAAACACTCCAGGCATGTATGTACGTGTTTCCAAAATCCTGATGGGATGGTGAAATGGGAGAAAAGGGATCATGTCATAACCACACCTCTTGGGAGGTTCCCTCTCTCTTTTGCAAGCACACATGTCCTCTGGCCAAAACAAACACACACGCACACAGTATATATATGTACACACACGTGTTTGTGTATTTTTGTATATACATACACACACATACACCTCCTTTATACTTTATGAATTCTTAAATTCTTTTTTTTTAAAATAATTCCTTTATTCCACTTTATCTATTTTTAATTTGACCAGAGAAGGACCGAGCTAGAGAGAGAGAAAGAAAGAAAGAGGGAAAGTGAGAAAGCAAGCCACCAGGTCCGGGACTCGAACCACGGTCGGCCATGCAGGAGTCCAGCACTCTTAACCACCACTCCACCTGCTGGCCCCATGAATCCTTAAATTCTTAAAGCTTTAAGTTTCCTTTAAATTCTGATATCAAAATTCCAATGTCAAGTTCCACAAAAAACAGCAACCCAGTTATTGACTAAATTCTAAGACTAGATTCCTACTCTTCATAGAAATGCTTTTAGCAGTTGTTACCCAAAATGAGAAATGATCCAACTTTAAAAGGACTGAATACTGTTTTTGCTTGACCTAAAACGTTACAGGTAATACGCCATAAGAGCATAACGACCATCTGACAGTGGTGACAACTACGTAAGAGCGTCTACTCGTAACGGCTTGTTAAGTTGTAGATCAATGTTAGTATTACTAATATTTCAAGATGACATTTGCTTTTGGTACATAAAACAGAAACGTGTATGTTTCGAAAACAGAACCAAATGGCAAATGAACCTCTACCTATTCATGAACTGTTCTTTGCCTGATTAAATTCTGTTAATTTTTTTTTTTTTTTTAATTTTGCTACAGGGAGCAAATGCTCACTAGAGAAAGAGAAAGTGAGAAAGCACCCTCCAGGGGGACGGCCACACTGCAATCTCTTCTCCTCCTCACCCTTCTTTGGGATTTTGGTCATACACATATGCCTGGTGTGTTTTTCAAGGCGCTGGGTCCAGGACTCAAATTGTGCAGTTGGCCACGTGGGATCCGGATCCTTTAATCACCATGCTATTGGCTGACCCAGATTCTGTTAAATGTTAAAAATAAATTTTAGCTTCCTAACAAGCAGAAGTAATATATTTTGTGTTACTTTTTGAGATGAATACATTATTTCTATTTATTTATTTATTGCTAGAGAATGCATTAGAGGGCACATATGCTTGCCAGAGAGGAGAAAGCACGCCCACGGGAGATAGTCACGCTGCAATCCCCTCTCCATTTCCCCATCCTGTCAAGATTTGGGGCACATGTTCACACATGCTCAGTGTGTTTTCCAAGCCTGAGGGCTGGACTTTAATTATGGTCAGCCATCTGGTACCCAGCTCCCTGGCTCCCTTAACCACCAGGCAATGGGGCTAGCCCCAAACTCTACTCTTATCTCTGGGCAACTCAAGTACATTGAATGTTTTCTTCTCGTCTATCTAGGCTCCCAAATGGCACCTTCACACACAAGGTGCTCTCCCCTGTGCTCCAGTCCCATGTTTCTAGCTGTCAATCAGACATCTCCATTTGTACCACTGTCTCAACCAACACGTGACTAAACAAAACTCCTAGCAGAGCCCTTCCAATTTCATTGTTCCCGCCAGTCCCCTTTTCTCTGCTAAGGGCACTACCTACCCAGTCACCAGACTCTACCTCAGCCATCTCTGAGTCCTCTTCCTTCTCCTCACCAAAAGGTAGTTACTGAAAACTTTGGCTTTATCTTTTTATTATTTTTTAAGATTTAATTTGATTTGTCACTAGCATTATTTTCTTAATTTGCCACAAGGCATTTTGATCACCAAGAAGAGAGAGAGAGAGAGAAAGTGAGAAAGCAAGTAGCCAGGTCTGGAACTTGAACCATGGTTGGCCCTGTGACAGTATAGCACCCCAACTATCACATCATCTGCTTTTTAAAGAAATCATTTAAAAATCTTTTTTAAATCATTTTTAAAAAATCATTTAAAAATTACTTTTAAAATCATTTTATTAAATTTTATTATTATTTTAAGTCATTTTATTTAATTTTAAAATCTTTTTAAAATTAAAAAGACTTAAAAATATTTAAAATCTTTTTTATATCTTTTTAAAAATTTTTTTTTGAAT